GGCATGGGAAAGGGGCTAAGCGCGCGTTTGTTGGGTGTTTCAAAAAGCCAACGAGCCTCAGTAAATAGTGGAGGGTCGGTCGCAGACTCTGGAGCTACCTCACCTGGGTTCAAATCTTGACTCTGCTGCTTCTGACCTGTGTGACCCTGGGGGAGTCACATAGTCTCTCTGTGCCTCAGTTGCCCCATCTGTAAACGGTGCTCATAGAATCTACTTGCTAGAGGGTTTTTTCTTTTAATTTTTATTTATTTATTTTTTTTTTGTCTATTTATTTTGAGAGAGAGAGAGAAAGAGAGGGAGAGAGTGAACATGAGTGGGAGAGGGACAGAGAGGGAGACAGAGAGGAGATCCCAAGCAGGCTGAGAGCTAACGGCAGAGGCCACATGGGGCTCGATCTCAGAACCAGGAGATCGTGACCTGAGCTGCAACCAAGAGTTGAAACCAACCGAGCCACCCAGGCGCCCCGCTAAGGTTGTTTTGCAATGCATGTAAGGGACCCGGGACTCATGTGTGGTGGCCGGCTGTAGCTCACGGGTGCCACACACTGAAAATGCTACTGTTACTGCGTTTAGGTTTGGATCCCGACCTCCTCAGCTTCACCCACACTGTGGCTCCGTGGAGATCGAGACTCAGGCAGGGGGTTCAGAGGAGTTGCCGGATTGCTGCAGCCTTCTGTCCATGAAAAGCAGGTAAGGGCAGAGCTAAAAGGTTCCCTGTCTGGGCCCTGGGGGTGGAGATGGCAGAGAGAAGCCTCTGGAAGCCTTAGTTTCCTCATCCCATAAGCAAAGATCAGGCACCACCCTTCCGGGGGCTGCCAGATTGCACCAGAGAGAGATGGTGTTTTTGTATAAGCTTAGTAAATGGTAAACTCTTGTTAAAATTGTGCTTGTTTGCCGAATAACAAAAACCAAGACTCCGCCCACCTGGCTATGCCCTGAGATAACAGAGGGTCCTGAATGGGTGGTGACTTGAGTACCAGCAGGACTGGTGGTCAAGGCAGGAGTCTCCGGGCAGGGGAGGTGGATTGTTTACAGGCAGCACAGCTGAGCTACCCCACAGCTGGCCTGCGGCTCACTGTCACCAGCCAGCTGGGCCAGTCCCCAGCTCTGAGGCCTTCCAAGGCCCAGACCCAAAGACAATCTTTCATGGGAGTCTGGGGGCTACTAGACAGGGCTGCTGGCCCTAGGGAGCCCCAGAGGGGGGAGGCAGGACTGAGAGAGAGAGAGAGAGACCAAGCATGAGTGGGGTAGGGGCAGAGAGATAGAAAGAGAGAAAATCCAGGGCGCCTGGGTGGCTCAGTCGGTTGAGCGTCCGACTTCAGCTCAGGTCACAATCTCGCGGTCCTTGAGTTCGAGCCCCACGTCGGGCTCTGGGCTGATGGCTCAGAGCCTGGAGCCTGCTTCCGATTCTGTGTCTCCCTCTCTCTCTGCCCCTCCACCGTTCATGCTTTGTCTCTCTCTCTCTCAAAAATAAATAAACGTTAAAACAAAAATTAAAAAAAAAAAAAAAAGAAAAGAAAGAAAATCCACAAGCAGGCTCTACACTATCAGCACGGAGCCCAATACGGGGCTTGAACCCATGACATCAAGAGTTGGACGCTCAACTGATTGAGCCCCCCAGGCGTCCCCTTCTCACACAGTTCTTGACCACCCCCTGTTATATACTCACACTTGAAGGCACTGGGGACGCAGTGCCTAAGCATGGCCACCAACCTGGAAACACATGCATTTACTCACACTTTAACTCACTCACTGGTTCAGTGGTCTTTCATTTATTCATTCCCTCAACAGAATTTCGCTAAGCGCCTACAGTGTGGTTGGTAGGCAGAGCTCTGAGGTCAAATACCTTAATTTCAACCCTGGCTCTGCCACTTGCTAGCTGTGTGACCTCGGGCCAGTTGCTTAACCTACCTGAGCCTCAGTTTCCTCATCTGTAAAATGGGATAATGCCGCGCAGGATTGTGGGTGGCGAGACTAACTGAGCTGCTCTCCTCCACCTGTGTGTTCCACCTCAGTGAGGGCCCTGCTCACCTGCTCAGCCCCACACACTCCCTGCACACTGCCAGGCCCCAGGCTGGGTCCTCGTAAAACCGTTTGCTGCTGGAATGGATGTGAACGCAGTGCCAGCCGCATGGCTCAGGGTCATGATGCTGTGGCTTATAGTCACACTCCCTGGGGTTTGGATTTGGGCTCTGCCTCTTTCTGCATCTGTAAAATGGCAATAAAAGTCATACTTACCTCTCCCAGGGGTGATGTGTGATACATATAAAAATATACACAGTCACGGGGCTCCTGGCTGGCTCAGTCAGAAGAACTTGAGACTCTTGATCTCAGGGTTGTGAGTTCGAGCCCCACATTGAGTGGAGAGATTACTAAAAAATAAACTTAAAGTAGGTATACCCATATAGTCATATAGACCAAGCGGGTGTTGGTTAGAATGAAGGTTTGGCTTCTGAAACCGTGGGCCCCACTAGGTGGCCCACCCCGGGGCCTTAGCCCCATGCCCAGCAGGTTCCAACTGTCCTCGGCCAGGAACCTATGGGGTGCCCTCGAGTCTGGTGATAGGGCGACACCTGCTGTTCCAAAGTAGGATGTGCAGCCACAGGCCCACCCTCTTCCTTGAGGGCCTCAAACTCTACCTTTGCAGCCATTTCTTTGGGCTCTTCTAATTCAGTGATTCTCAACCAGGGGAGGAGAGAGGAAGGGTAGATGTCATCCACATTACTCTGTCACCACCTCTCTAGTCTAAGTCGTCACCTCCCTTTGCCTGGATTAGGGCACAGCCTCCAAAGCTTCCCTACCTTCTGGTCCCAGCACAAAAGCTAGAGAAACTTTTTTTTTTTTTTTTTTTTAAGTAAATGCAACACCCAACACCCAACACGGGGCTTGAACTCACGACCCTGAGATCAAGAGTTGCATTCCCAGGGCACCTAGGTGGTTCAGTCAGAAGAGTGTGTGACTCTTGATCCCGGGGTCCTGAGTTCAAGCCCCAGGATAGTTGTAGAAATTACTTACATAAATAAACTTAAAAAAAAAAAAAAAAAAAAAAGAACAGTCGCATGCTCTACTGGCCCTAGAGGAACCTTTTTTTTAAAGGTGGGTCTGGGCCCGTCACTGCTCACAGTTTCCAGTGGAACCTATCTCAGAATAAAATCTAAAGACCTCATCGTGGCCCATAAGGCATCGCGTGATATGGTCCCTGCCACTTCTCTGGCAACTGTTTTCTGTACATATGCACACGTTGTCTGTCCCGACTGGAGAATAAGCTCCTTTAGAGGGGGCCCTGTCTGTCCTATCACTGCTCCAGTGCAGGGTCTAGCCCAGAGCCGGGCACACAGCGGGCGCCCAATAAATACTTGGTGACTGAATGAATGAATGCCCTAGCTAGACTGAATGACTCTGGTCCCTTTTCCTGGAACACTCCCCATCCTGGCTCCCTTGCCTTTGTGTGGTTCACTCCACTGGTCAAATCTTAGTCTAGATATCACTTCCTGCAGGAAGCCCTCCCTGATCTCCTCTCCCCAGAATGGACTGGTCACCCTCCTCCAGCCCCAGCATTATCCTGTATACCCGTACTGTTGCACTTATCAGAAGCTATCAGTAATAGTAATAAGTCACTTCCTTTCCTGGCTTCCCACCAGGCTGTGAGCTTCTGGAGGACTGAGTTATGTCTGTTCTCTCTGGATCGCCTCTGCCTAGGAGGGATTCTGCTGGGACGAGAGGCCATCAGCCCTCTGGTTAGGAGCAACCCAGGCTTGCCTGGATGCCTATTCCAACTACACCAGTCTGTGGGGCCTGACTACACCCCTCAGCTCTTCAGACCTCACCTCCCTAATCTGTGCTGCCTCACACTGGCTCTGCAAGGAGGCCGCTTCCCTGGCCTGGAGCAAATGGCCAACACACGTTTTTGTAGAGAACCGATAAAATAGCCATTGAATAGCTAAATGGACATTCAGCGATCTTAATCAGAAAGCCTTGAGCCACGCTTCCTCGGATGAGTTGATTCAGCATTTCACACATCGCTGTGCCTCTTACACCCTCACACGCGCTCCAGTGACCCCACTTCCTGCGGGGTAACACGACTGCCCTGGGAGGCGGGGACCACCTTGTCCCTTGTATCCCGAGGGGCACGTGAGGCTGGTCGCAGTAGCTGCTGAGGAAGTAACCGCTCCTGTTTGTATCTGTTCAGACATGATACCCCGTCACCTTTCTGAGCACCTTCTGCCCCCCCTTGAGAAGCAGTTTCCCTTATTTCCCGTTTTGGATTGCCTGGGAATTCCCCCCACCTGGTATCCATGCCTCCTGGTGACCTACAGACTTGCACGAGAGTGACTTGCCTGTCGCACTGGGACATCCTGACCCCGCTCTGGCCGGCCCTGGGATCAGATGCCAGCCAGGTGGCCCTGGGGAGTGTGGATTTTCACAGTGCTGGCTTTCTCATCTTTTACTTAAATTATTTTTGAGGGGCGCCTGGGTGGCTCAGTCGGTTGGGCGTCCAACTTCAGCTCAGGTCACGATCTCGCGGTCCGTGAGTTCGAGCCCCGCGTCGGGCTCTGAGCTGATGGCTCAGAGCCTGGAGCCTGCTTCCAATTCTGTGTCTCCCTCTCTCTCTGCCCCTCCCCCGTTCATGCTCTGTCTCTCTCTGTCTCAAAAATAAATAAACGTTAAAAAAAAATTTAAAAAAAAAATAAATAAATAAATTATTTTTGAGAGGTAGAGACAGATCATGAGTGGAGGAGGGGCATAGAGAGAGGGAGACACAGAATGTGAAGCAGGCTCCAGGCTCTGAGCTGTCAGCACAGAGCCCGACGCGGGGCTCGAACTCACAGAGTGCGAGATCCCGACCTGAGCCAAAGCCAAACGCTTAACTGACTGAGCCACCCAGGCGCCCCTCCGTCTCATCTTTTAGATCACACTTTGCCACTCACGGGGTCAGAAAAGCTTTTTGCCCCAACGGCTTCCCATCCCAGCACACCATTTCCCTTCCTACATAGTCATTAGTTCATCACTATTCAAAATCATCTTTATTTGGTTACATATTTAGCCCTTTCCCTCTCCCCCACCCGGAGGAGGAGCTCCAAGAAAGCTGTGGCATCTTCCCCAGTACTTTGCAGAGCCTGACGTGGAAGCCGCTCCGTTAGAATTTGCTGTATGAATGGTCTGGTCTCTTTCCAGGTGCAGGTGCCTGATCTTGCTTCTGCTGAAAGGCTCGCAAAGATAGGAAGGAGGAAGGTGGATACCCTCGAGTGTGTACTTGGTGGCGGTTTCAGATGTCCTTTGTCGATCCAATGCCCTTCCTGGGCTCAGGCACAAATGACTTCTGCTTGGCTGGGGAAGGGGGGGTTGGGTTCTGGGAATTCCCCGAGCTCGAGCCTGGTGTGCCAACCCCCTCCTTCATGGCCAGGCTCTTCCAATTAATCTGCCTGCCCACAGACACAGGAGGAGAGGGCTTTGAGCGAGCCTATGACAGTTCCCCAAGCTGAAGACCTCGAGGGCACAGACTTCAAGGGGTTTCCCTTGGCTTCAGGAGCCTCCTGCGGGACCAGTGGACTGACTGGGGAGGAATCTGGGGCCCCGGTCCCTCTGCAGGGTGGTACGGCCCCCCTGGCCTGGGCAAGGCGTCCCCTACCCAGCGGGGCCTCCTGAGTCAGGTGGGGCGGGTTTTCTCCACAGAACAAGATATAAGTCTTCATTGGCGGGGTGACGGTTCCTAGATTAGGACCAGGGGCTCGGGGCAGCACTGGGGGTGCTATCAGGGAGATCTGTCTGCCACGAGCACAGTCGATGACAAAAGTCAGGTGAGCGGGGGGGATGGCCTTCTGATGGCAGCCCGGCTTCCCACCTAGAAGGAGGGAAAAGACCAAAGGTCCGTGTTAGCACAGCGGAGCGTGGTTTCCATTCATGGTTTGGTTTTTGTTCCCTGGTGCCCTCCCTTAAAGGGCTTCCCTTCCCCTCCCTTCCCTTCCC